GGTTCAGGGTGTATCGCGTCGGTTCGAAGCTCGATCGAGTCGATTGAAGGGCTCCAGGCGAGATAAAGGCCCTTGCTAGCCGTCGTTAAATGGATTAGAAGCGGAAGGGTTGGTCGCACCGGCGACGGCACTACACCCTCTGCCTCGAGACTCTCCTGGGACCAACCCTTTCTCCCACAGTTTTTGATCACGCTAACTGGTCTCGATCTTGCCCTTTTCGAAGCTATGCTATTTTCCGAGTCTCTGCCATTTGGCTTTGACCATGGTAAAATGTTGTACGAAATTTGGTTTGAATGTTGGAGGATGCAAATAAAATGATTGGGGAGGTTTGGAAATGTTTTATTCTTGAACGGTGTAGAGGTAGAGACTTGAACGAGTTGCCAAGTATAGTATTATAAGTTTCATATCTTAAATATAATACTACAACCGAACTTAAATGTTATCACACGTAACTCAATTTTTAATACAGTAGAATTTCGTTTATATAAACTCTAAATTTTAGGGCTACTTAATTACAATCATAGATAGCGGGAAGAAATTCGCTAAATTATAAAAAGTTGAAAATATGTGTCTCTCGTGTTTGGCATTAGGAATGCAGCGAATCTCTAAGCAGCTTCTTTTCTGTACTTTTTGCTACATTTCTAAATCGTTTGTTTTGAATTCATTTTATTACATGGGCCAACGCTTAGAAACTTTTCCAACATCTCCTTCTCTCTATATCCTCGTCTAGAATTTTATGGAAATCCTCTTTGATCTTTGAGCAGTATATTGCGGTGTAAAAATATTAGTCAGTTGGTATTTAAAATGAATTAATGTCCTTTCAATATTCTTTTCACGTTATTCTTCGTAGCGATTATTAAAATATGTAAATTGTTGCGTTCAACATTATAGAATCTGTGAAAATAGTAACTGGCAAAATTCACATCATAGATAAATTATTCTGTTTAAAATAATCGAGCCCGTGAATGTAGTAACTACGGGACAATTGTCTTTCTTCCCTAAAAATCTCCATTATCTACCTTTGACCTGAATTTTCTTGGTTACAGGTGAAACCAGGAGATCGAAATTTTTCTTAGATGCTTCTGATGTTTGCATTAATCAACGCGCGAGTCTTCGTTACCGCAAGATAAAATTTCCTGTAAATAGTGTTTCTTGAAGAGTGGGCCGCTGGAAACGAAACTTAACAAGCTCCAAAGATCCAACAAATCAAGTAATCTCAAGATCCAAAGAAATCAACTTGGAAGATCCTCGATTCACGCCATTAAAAATTAACTTAAAAGCTTTCATCCGCAAGGATCATCGAACTTTCTAAAAACTACCAAAATCTCCCAAAATCTCCCATAATCTTCCACAAACTCTTCAACGTCATTATCGAAGCAAAATTTCCGAAAGAAGTACGGAAGTACTCGAAGAAAGAATAACACGAGTACATATACAAAGAATTCTTCAAGATTGCCAAATGCTATCCTGAGCTCGCCGTTAAAGTAAAATCTTCGAGAGAAGAGGGTGTATCAAAGTAATCGGAGAAAGAATCGTCGAGCGTCGGGCAGCGCCATGTCAGGTCGCGAAGCCTGACCCAGGAAGAGGTGTACCGGGTGAGGATCCTCGTAAGAGCCGAGAAGTTCCAGCAGTGAACCGAATGGAAGGATGTATCATCCGGCGTTCTGACTGCCTATGGATATATTCGGCCGTTGCAACGGCGGCGGTGGCGGAAGCACGGTATCCGGAAGCGGCGCTGGCTCGGTGAGGGGGTCCAGCAACGAGTCCAGCTGTGGAACAGCGAGTGCTCCCAGCGAGAGCGGCGGAACCAGCGACAGGATGCAGTTGACAGGAGCCTCGGCTCCTGGCGCTGCC